TGTTTATTGAGTAAAATAAACATGTATGCATATCACGCTGCGCCTTGGTCCGTCCCGTCTTTCAACGAACGTGACAAACATGTTTCAAAAAATTCTACAAAAATAAATAACTGAAAAGTGGTGCATGCATATGTATTCACCCCCTTTGCTATGAAGCCCCTAAATAAGATCTGGTGCAACCAATAAGAAGTCACATAATTAGTTAAATAAAGTCCACCTGTGTGCAATCTGTGTGCAAAGTGTCACATGATCTGTCACATGATCTCAGTATACATACACCTTTTCTGAAAGGCCCCAGAGCCCACGACTGTACTGTGTCACTTGGACTAAGAAAATACAATTTATGACACTGTCAAGAAGCATTATGACCATCAGGATCATATAAGCCAGATGGGCTTATCACGTACATGCCCTTACGTCAGTCGTCAGTCAAAAACACGGTGTCTTGTCCTGCTCCTGAAATCTGCTCCTGCATTCATCCCAGTCATCAGCAACAGAGCATTGTGGTAGCTGCATGTTTGACATCGATGTGTGCGCAATTACAATGATATAATTACATTTGGTCAATTTCAGAAATACTGTTGGCAAGTAGGCTATGGTGTAATGGAATGTTTTCCCTTGTGTGGTAGATTCAGTGGGGTTTTGACACTCTTATCTAGGTGTCATAACTAGCCATAAAAATAATGCAATATATGTCACAACAGGTCTAAATATGTGTCATGACAGTGTTATGACACATATTATGACGGGTTATGTCAGCTTTTATGACATATTATGAGATGGTTATGACCGTGACATAATGTGTTACGACGCCAGGTGTCAAATAGTGTTACCAACAATGGTAATGTCTGAGAGTGTAAAACTACAAAAATCGACAACCAGTAAAAAAATACAACTGAGAAAACATACATTTGGAAAATAAACATAATTTTGAGGAAAAAAATCACAGATTTGATAGGGTTTAGTTGTTTATTGACCAGTATATTGACAAAAAACATAGTGCACTACTTTCTCTTGTACACTAAGGACCCGAGGAGTAGTTACAGGGGAGAAGAGAAGAATGTGCCTATTTGAAAGCTAGAAAAACATTACTAGCTCACGTTACATGTACAGATTCAACTGGGTGGCAGGTAGCTTAGTGGGTAAGAGCGTTGTGCCAGTAACCGAAAGGTCGCTGGTTCTAATCCCCGGGCCGACTAGGTGAAAAATCTGTCGATGTGCCCTTAAGCAAGGCACTTAACCCTAAGTCGCTCTGGATAAGAGCGTCTGCTAAATGACTAAAATGTAAATGTTAAAAAGTAGCTCTCAATCTAGAAAAGGTCGGAGACCCCTGTTTTACACAATGTTTTATTTTTTTATAGTTGGTCTATAAATCTGGATGAAATCAAGACATCCTCTCTTTTAGTAGATTATATCTGAGCCCCCCCCCCCCCGCCCCGCCCCGCCCCCCCAAACAAGAAACGTGGTTAAAGAATATGTGGGGCACCTGCAATCTTCAGATCTGCAACCAGATCATTAACCCTCTGCGTCACCAGGGGATAGATGTGGCTTTGCAGCGGGTTTTCAGTCTAACGTGGATGAATCAGGAGACTGAACGCAATTTTCTGAGTTATTAAAGTGTTCCCATCCTCTTCATATGCTGTGGGACTGTAACACTGTTTTTTAGGATTTGGTGTTTTGTTATTGTTATTATTATTTGTTGTTGACAATTTTAATTGAAAACAATCACAGTAAGGTACTTAATTGTTACCCAGAAATGATTTGATATTGAGATTTAAAAAAATGTCTGCGTTGGACCTTTAAATCAATACAAGATTATTCCGTTGAATGTGAATTTGTTTTGGTATGGTTTATTATGCGTCATCCTTGATCAGAAAGTGTATTGCATTCATGGCGGCAGGTAGCTTAGTGGGTAAGAGCGTTGTGCCAGTAACCGAAAGGTCGCTGGTTCTAATCCCCGAGCCGACTAGGTGAAAAATCTGTCGATGTGCCCTTAAGCAAGGCACTTAACCCTAATTGCTCCTGTAAGTCGCTCTGGATAAGAGCGTCTGCTAAATGACTAAAATGTATGTGTAATTGATTGACATTGAGAAAAGGTACAATTTGTTTTCTTATTTAGTTTGAGGGTTTCTGAGCCTGTATTTAAGAAGTATATGGATACAAACGAATACAAGTTATTTAAAGGAAGCTCTATCCAAGTAAAATCACATTTCACAAGTCTTTCAAACGCGTGTGTTGAAGAAAGACAAACCTAAAATACAGGGTCAGAAGTACACAAAGAGGATGGGTTAAGGATCTGAAGATTGCAGGTTCAATCCCACATTTTCTGTAGACCTTTCCTGCAGCCGAAAATCCGGTGTTTCTATGTCAAACGGTTTTGTTATGTTTCAGTCTTCTGTGATGTATATAAAGTGTAATATTGGAATGCAAACTCAAAATGTAATACATTCCAACTCTACATCTGACATGGTACAGGTGTCTTATTTTTAAGGTGTATACTTTTGTTTCAAAGTAGATTAGTTTAATACTACCAAAAAAAAAACACTCTGTTTGACCCTGATTTAGCCCATTGCAGTAAAAGGTTAACCATGTTTCTTTGGGGAAAAAACGGTGAAATTGAGGCTCAGATATAATCTACTAAAAGAGAGGGTGTCTTGATTTCGTCCAGATTTGTAAATCAGTCAAAAATGCAGAATTTTAGACCAACTATAGAAATAAAACCATTGTGTAAAAATTGACTGTTCAACTTTTTTTTTTTTTTTTAAACACACCCAATATAATCGTTGAGACGCTTGATATGGTCCCCCCGTGTCTTAGTTTGTATGATCTGAAAAGCTAAAGTGATCCTAGATCAGCGCTCATGGTCTTGGATACCTTGTAAATATGGGTCCAGAAGTACGCAGCATATAAAGAGGATGGGTGAAGTGACGGTGAATAACCCAGTTACCAGTATTTTCTCTGGGTTAGTTACGTCTAAGAAGGTTAAAAAGGAAGCTTGGAATTCCTGATTGACAACACTGCCATGGTAACCATACTGCCATGGCTATATACTGGAAAAAATAAGTGAGCTTCCCTGGTGTTGCAGAGGATAAAAGACTTAGCTTGAGAACCAAACATTTCAAGTTCAAACCCGCACGTGCAGATTGTCAACATATAAAATATATATACATATTGTTGTGTTTGTATGATTTTAAATGCTGTTCAAACTTCCTATTAATGAAATTAAAATGCAATGTGTCTCCATATCACCTTCACATGTGAATTTCCATTAAATCTGAAGGGTAACTCACCACCTTCCGGAGACATTTGAAACCCCACCTCTTTAAGGAACACCTGGGATAGGATAAAGTAATCCTTCTACCCCCCCCCCCCAAAAAAAAAAATTATATATATATATAATTGTAAAGTGGTTATCCCACTGGCTATAGGGTGAATGCACCAATTTGTAGTCGCTCTGGATAAGAGCGTCTGCTAAATGATGTAAATGTGCCCTTGAGCAAGGCACTTAACCCTAATTGCTCCTGTAAGTCGCTCTGGATAAGAGCATCTGCTAAATGACTAAAATGTAAAATGTAAAATGTAACATAAAGGGGCTGTATTCCAGTCTGCTTTATGGAGCTGCACATTTGCATGCTGAGAATGTTGTGGTATTATTAGGCAAAACATACATATAGCATTTTCAAAATGTTCTGAGGACCTCCGAGACAAGGTAACATTTTATATTTGCTTGAACATCATTGGAATATTATGTTAAACCTAAAACAAATGTGCTATGAACGTCATAAAAACGGACTTGTTTGGAAACTGTGGAACATTGTGGAACATTGTGGGAATGTTCTGTGCAACATACTGTATGTGGATAGTGTAATAATATTACTGCAACATCCCAGACAACTACCATAACTTATTTAAATGTTCTTGGAACCTTTAAATAACTTAGACCAGGTGTTCTGTCAACATTCTTGCAACATTATAGGAATGTCCTGTGCAACCTAACACAACTGAGCATGTTTTTGGGAACCTATCTCTTGTAATGTACCCACACTGTTCCCACAACCTAGTTATATGTTCTGAGAATCTTTAAAGAACTCAAAGATTGTTCTGTCAACATTCTTGTGACATCAAAGGAATGGTTTGTGCACCCTGATACAAATATTATCTGAAAGTCAGCACAACTAGAAAGTATTTGTGTTTTAGGAACATATCTCTTGTCATATCTCCACAATGTTCCCACAACCTAAATAATAATTCTGGGAACCTTTAAAGAACAGATGAAATGTGTTCTGGGAACGTTCTTGTAACATCAGGTGACTGTTTTTTGCACCCTAAAATAAACATTGTAGAATCATCCACACAACTGGACAGTTTTTGTGTTTTGGGAACATATATTTTGTGATGTCCCCACAATGTTCCCACCAGACTGTTCCCACAACCTCATGAAACATTCTTGGAACCTTTGAAGAACAGATTAAATGTGTTCTAGGAACTTTCTTGCAACATCAGGCGAAATGTTTTATACAAACATTCTATAATCATAAGCAAGACTAGACAATTTTTATGTTATGAGAACATTTGCCGCGACCAAACGAATGTTCTTGGAACTTTCACAGAACCAACTTTGGTTTGCTGGGTTGTTATTAGAGGGATTGTTTTCAATGAGTGTTCTGTGTCCACACTGTAGGTACAATCGACTGTTGAAAGAAAATTATTCTATTCATCACCAGCTGCTGTTTGAATGAACTTCGATCCACTATCAGACTGGTTAAATAGAAAGACACACAGTAGTGTCTGTGTGTGTGTGTGTGTATCTGTTTGTCTGTGTCTGTGTGTGTGTGTTTGTCTGTGTGTGTGTGTGTTTGTCTGTGTGTGTGTGTGTGTGTGTGTGTGTGTGTGTGCTTGTCAATAATCAGGGTTGATTTCACTGCTTAGCAGGTGAGCACAAGGAATAGGCAGATCAGAGAGTAAAGAGTGAGTGACCACTGAATATAAAAAAAATAAACATGAGGAAGTGTTGTCACTCTGTAGACGACAGGTCAGAAGACAGCTGAGTGGCAACGGGAGGACGAGGGTATATCTACACAGGTACCATGACTTTTGATATTTGTCAGAGAAGTATTTTGTACTGTAAATCATAACTATGGCTCAATCTTTTCTCTTCACGGCTCTCGGGTCTCTCACTTCTATCCTCTTTAACCTAGCCTCTTGACCAGCTCTAGGTAACTGTAAGCCTGCTCGCTGAAGAACATGTGCGATTAAAATGTTTTGAACATAAACTGTATTATACTGTGTGTGTGTGTGTGTGTGTGTGTGTGTGTGTGTGTGTGTGTGTGTGTGTGTGTGTGTGTGTGTGTGTGTGTGCGTGCGTGCGTGTGTGCATTCATGCATGTCTGTGTGTGTTTATCAGCAGGTAGTATGATCAGTATGAACAGCAGTACCAGGGATAGTTGTGATGCATCCCAAACCTCCAGTAGCCACGTCCCTGTTCCCGTCCCCGTCCCCGTCCCTGTCCCCGTCCCTGGTATTACTGGGCCCTACATCGCCGCCGAGCTACTCATCGCTCTCCTCGCTATCGCTGGGAATATCTTGGTCTGCCTGGCCGTGACCCTAAACAGGAAGCTACGCACCGTCACCAACTACTTCCTGGTGAGAGGCTGAGAAATGTGTTACACTGTTAAAAGGTCCCTATGGGAAGCAGGAAGATCATAGATATAGATAGATAGATGACTCTAGATGGATAAAACCTGTTTTAGCATGGACGTTGCCGTTCAGGACTTCCACCATTTTAAAGTTGTCAACTGGGTGGGGATTCCTATGGGTTGAGAGCGATCAGCCAATGGTCAGAGGATTGTCTTCTTCATATTGGATGATTTACGGTCGGTAAATGGCTTGAAGCTATATCACTACCATCTAGTGGCCACAAATTAATGACACACAACATTTGGTTTAGTACTCCAGCACTGCAGGTGGCGGTAAATCCCCAATATTAGCCTTACGCTTTTTTCAAACACGAGAAGAGAATTGACTACTTTACAAATACCATCGTGACACAGACACAAAGATCAGTTCTCTATCTAACTCTGTGGAGAACCCAGGAAAAAAAAAACTCAAAAGGAACTAATCTCTCCTCCCACCCCTTTCCCAGGTGTCGCTTGCGGTGGCCGACATCTTTGTGGGCGTGCTGGCGATCCCGTGTGCCGTGTTGACCGACCTGGGCCAGCCGCGCCACAACCTGCCTCTGTGTCTGCTCCTCCTGAGCGTGCTCATCGTGCTAACCCAGAGCTCCATCCTCAGCCTGCTAGCGGTAGCCGCAGAGCGCTATGTGGCCATCCTGCTGCCGCTCCAGTACCAGAGGATCGTGAGCCCCAGGTAGGCAAGCCCCAGGTGGATGTAGGCTAGCCCCAGGTAGGCTAGCCCCAGGTAGACCACCCAGGTGGATGTAGGCTAGCCCCAGGTAGACCACCCAGGTGGATGTAGGCAACCCCCAGGTAGACCACCCAGGTGGATGTAGGCTACCCCCAGGTAGACCACCCAGGTGGATGTAGGCAAGCCCCAGGTAGACCACCCAGGTGGATGTAGGCTACCCCCAGGTGGATGTAGGCTAACCCCAGGTAGACCACCCAGGTGGATGTAGGCTACCCCCAGGTAGACCACCCAGGTGGATGTAGGCTACCCCCAGGTAGACCACCCAGGTGGATGTAGGCTAGCCCCAGGTAGACCACCCATGTGGATGTAGGCAAGCCCCAGGTAGACCACCCAGGTGGATGTAGGCTACCCCCAGGTGGATGTAGGCTAACCCCAGGTAGACCACCCAGGTGGATGTAGGCTACCCCCAGGTAGACCACCCATGTGGATGTAGGCTACCCCCAGGTAGACCACCCATGTGGATGTAGGCAAGCCCCAGGTAGACCACCCAGGTGGATGAGGCTAGCCCCAGGTAGACCACCCAGGTGGATGTAGGCAAGCCCCAGGTAGACCACCCAGGTGGGTAGACCATACCACCCAGGTGGATGTAGGCTACCCCAGGTAGGCCACCCAGGTGAATGAGGCTAGCTAGCTGCTGATCACAGGCCCATGTATTCTCCTGTGTCTGTCCATGTATGTGTTATGTCCTGCATTGTCCAACACCCAGGACCACATTGGAAATAAGTGTTTTTATGCTTTCATGTGTCATCCTCTAGGTTCCTTTGTACTTTAAAAACTGTATTAAACCGTTCAAATTGTTTTATCCAAAATAAAATCAATCAATCAATCAGGAACGCCCGTCTGGCCCTGGTCCTCACCTGGTGTCTGGCCCTGCTCTCTGGCTCCATCCCTCTGATGGGCTGGCACGGATCACTGCCACCCTCTGGGTACATGTTATAACATTATATTGTTGAACCTTTTTTTCAATCTTTAAATCTGTATTAAATGTAAATCTTACAATCTGTAACTACCTGGTTGTCACCAGTATATGGTCTACTTGAACTTTCAAATTTAAATTATACGCTAACTAACTTCTGTCTTATCTTTAACTTCTATTAAAATAATAATGTATTAAATTCATCTCTTCTCTTTCTCTGCAGGGCCTGTCTGTTCACCTGCGTGGTCAATTTGAGTTATATGGTCTACTTCAACTTCTTTGGCTGTGTGCTGGTGCCCCTGGTGGTCATGTTCATCATCTACGGTCACATCTTCGTCACGGTCAGACAGCAGCTCAGACGCATCGCAGCCGGGAGGGGACCAGCCAGGCCTGATACCAGGGATGATGGGTCTGGGTCTGGGAGCAGAGATGCTGCGGCTGGAAAGAGGGCTAGGGTTGAGGCTTGGGGTGTTAGTGGGGTAGCGGTGTGGGAAGGAGCTGGGAATGCTGGGGTGATGACTAGCCATGCTAGTGGGTGTGTTAGTGCCGAGTCTGGGTCTGTGGTAGCCAGTGAAATCAAGTCTGAGTCCAGAGGTCCAGTAAAGACCAGGTGTGGGTCCGGTGGCGGCGAGTGTAAGCGAGCACTGCGTATGCGTCGTGAGGTGAGGAAAGCCACATCTCTATTCCTGGTGTTGTTCCTGTTCATGCTGTGCTGGCTGCCTATCCACTTTCTGAACTGTGTTATGTTGCTGTGCCCACGCTGCCACGTGCCCCTGCCACTCAGCCTGGCAGCCATCCTGCTGTCCCACGCCAACTCTGCCCTCAACCTCTGCTCTACGCGTACCGCATGAGGTCCTTCAGACACGCACTGAGGACGCTCTGCTGCACACACACTGTATAACACACGCACTGAGGACGCTCTGCTGCACACACACTGTATAACAAACGCACTGAGGACGCTCTGCTGCACGCACACTGTATAACACACGCACTGAGGACGCTCTGCTGCACGCACACTGTATAACACACACACTGAAGACGCTCTGCTGCACACACACTGTATAACACACACGGAGGACGCTCTGCTGCACGCACACTGTATAACACACACACTGAGGACGCTCTGCTGCACACACACTGTATAACACACATAATGAGGACGCTCTGCTGCACGCACACTGTATAACACACACACGGAGGACGCTCTGCTGCACGCACACTGTATAACACACACATGGAGGACGCTCTGCTGCACGCACACTGTATGACACACACACTGGACGCTCTGCTGCACACACACTGTATAACACACACACTGAGGACGCTCTGCTGCACACACACTGTATAACACACACACTGAATGACGCTCTGCTGCACACACACTGTATAACACACACACTGGGCGCTCTGCTGCACACACACTGTATGACACACACACTGGACGCTCTGCTGCACACACACTGTATGACACACACACTGAGGACGCTCTGCTGCACACACACTGTATGACACACACACTGAAGACGCTCTGCTGCACACACACTGTATAACACACACACTGAGACGATCTGCTGCACACACACTGTATGACACACACACTGAGGACGCTCTGCTGCACACACACTGTATAACACACACACGATGCTCTGGCACACACGGGGACGCTCTGCGGCACGCACACTGATAACACACACACTGAGGACGCTCTGCCTACACGCACACTGTATAAACCACGCACTGAGGACGCTCTGCTGCACGCACACTGTATAACACACACACTGAGGACGCTCTGCTGCACGCACACTGTATGACACACGCACTGAGGACGCTCTGCTGCACACACACTGTATGACACAGTCAGATATCTCAGCCAGAGGGTTGTAAATGTTTATTTAGCAGACAAACTCTGTACATTATGGCAAATTTAAAATAAAAGCAAATTCTTCAATAACACCAATGCTTTGTACTCTCTCTGGTCAGTTCTGTGTTAGTCTCATCAAGTAGTTGAAGTCGTTGAATTATTCTGGGTCAGTAAAGTAGTAGTCTCGCGTTGCCATGCCGCCAAAATCACGTTCCGTTGTCACGCCTGGTTCTCGATGAGGCTAGTCAAGTAAAAATAAACAAGTAGATGAACGATCTGAAAACAGTAGCACCGCAGACACAGTTGCGGCCACCAGATGGTGCTGTTTTACTAAAACCTGAGATTATTAGGATAAAATGAAATTAATGTTTTTTTTCTGATTCTGATAAAACTCTATCACTCACCATAACCACTAAGAAAAATTGCAATATTGTTATTAAGAGGCATATTAAATGAATATGCAGAAAATATTGTGTATAAATAAAAGAAAACACATTTTTTATATTAAATTTAACAGTAAGATTTTAGACACAAATACAAGATGATTACTTGATTTAACAGGCATCATTACAGACATTGAATTGATCATAGGTCATATGTACATGATATACAGTGTATATATATATATATGAACAATCATAAACCACACACATATTTTACAGTGCATTCGGAAAGTATTCAGACCCCTTTAAGTTTTTTTATTTTTTATTCCTCATCGATCTACACACAATACCCCATAATGACAACTCCAAGTGGGGTGTCATGTGCCTTTTACTGAGGAGTGGCTTCCGTCTGGCCACTCTACCATAAAGGCCTGATTGGTGGAGTGCTGCAGAGATGGTTGTCCTTCTGGAAGGTTCTCCCATCTCCACAGAGGAGCTCCGGAGCTCTGTCAGAGTGACCATTGGGTTCTTGGTCACCTCCCTGACCAAGGCCCTTCTCCCCTGATTACTCAGTTTGGCCGGGCAGCCAGCTCCAGGAAGAGTCTTGGTGGTTCCAAACTTCTTCCATTTAAGAATGATAGAGGCCACTGTGTTCTTGGGGACCTTCAATGCTGCAGACATTTATTGGTAACCTTCCCCAGATCTGTGCCTCAACACAATCCTGTCTCGGAGCTCTACGGACAATTCCTTCGACCTCATGGCTTGGTTTTTTCTCTGACATGCACTGTCAACTGTGGGACCTTATATAGACAGGTGTGTGCCTTTCCAAATCATGTCCAATCAATTGAATTTACCACAGGTGGACTCCAATCAAGTTGTAGAAACATCTCAAGGATGATCAATGGAAACAGGATGCACCTGAGCTCAATTTCGAGTCTCATAGCAAAAGGTCTGAATACTTATGTAAATAAGGTATTTTTTTATTTAATTTTTATAAATTTGCAAACATTTATACAAACCTGTTTTCGCTTTGTCATTATGGGGTATTTTGTGTAGATTGATGAGGAAAACATTTAATTGAATCCATTTTAGAATAAGGCTGTAACAACAAACTGGGGACATTTTGTTAGTCCCCTCAAGGTCAAATGCTATTTCTAGGGGGTTAAGGTAAGAATTAGGTTTAGGGTTAGGAGCTAGGGTTAGTTTTAGGGTTAGGAGCTAGGGTTAGGTTTAGGGTTATGGAAAATAAGATTTTGAATGGGACTGAATTGTGTGTCCCCACAAGGTTAGTTATACAATACTGTGTGTGTGTGTGTCGTATTTGAGGATAAACGTTCTCCTGAGGTATGTCAGCAGGATCTCTGAATCAGCTGTAGAGATAACGTCATATACAGCTGAAGGCTGGGGCAATACCACAGCGCCTTCAGAAAGCATTCACACCTCTTGACTTTTTCCACATTTTGTTGTGTTACAGATTTAATTTAAAATTGATTAAATTGAGATTTTGAATATCGATTTCATCATGGTGAAGTTATTAATTACACTTGGATGGTGTATCAATACACCCAATCACTACAAAGATACAGGAGTCCTTCCTAACTCAGTTGCCGGAGAGGAAGGAAACCTCTCAGGAATTTCACCACGAGGCCAGTTTATTTATTTATTTATTTTATTTCACCTTTATTTAACCAGGTAAGCCAGTTGAGATCAAGTTCTCATTTACAACTGCGACCTGGCCAAGATAAAGCAAAGCAGTGCGATTAAAAACAACAACAACTCAGAGTTACATATGGAATAAACAAAACGTACAGTCAATAACACAATAGAAAATCTATATACAGTGTGTGCAAATGTAGTAAGTTATAGAGGTAAGGCAATAAATAGGCCATAGTGCAAAATAATTACAATTGAGTATTAAAACACTGGCGTGATAGGTGTGCAGAAGATGATGTGCAAATAGAGATACTGGGGTGCAAATGAGCAAAATAAATAACAATGTAAATAACAATATGGGGATGAGGTACAGTGAGGGAAAAAAGTATTTGATCCCCTGCTGATTTTGTAAGTTTGCCCACTGACAAAAAAATTATCAGTCTATAATTTTAATGGTAGGTTTACTTGAACAGTGAGAGACAGAATAACAACAAAGAAATCCAGAAAAACGCATGTAAAAAATGTTATAAATTGATTTGCATTTTAATGAGGGAAATATGTATTTGACCCCCTCTCAATCAGAAAGATTTCTGGCTCCCAGGTGTCTTTTATACAGGTAACGAGCTGAGATTAGGAGCACAATCTTAAAGGGAGTGCTCCTAATGTCAGCTTGTTACCTGTATAAAAGACACCTGTCCACAGAAGCAATCAATCAATCAGATTCCAAACTCTCCACCATGGCCAAGACCAAAGAGGTCTCAAGGATGTCAGGGACAAGATTGTAGACCTACACAAGGCTGGAATGGGCTACAAGACCATCGCCAAGCAGCTTGGTGAGAAGGTAACAACAGTTGGTGTGATTATTCGCAAATGGAAGAAACACAAAAGAACTGTCAATCTCCCTCGGCCTGGGGCTCCATGCAAGATCTCACCTCGTGGAGTTGCAATGATCATGAGAACGGTGAGGAATCAGCCCAGAACTACACGGGAGATATTGTCAATGATCTCAAGGCAGCTGGGACCATAGTCACCAAGAAAACAATTGGTAACACACTACGCCGTGAAGGACTGAAATCCTGCAGCGCCTGCAAGGTCCCCCTGCTCAAGAAAGCACATATACAGGCCCGTCTGAAGTTTGCCAATGAACATCTGAATGATTCAGAAGAGAACTGGGTGAAAGTGTTGTGGTCAGATGAGACCAAAATTGAGCTCTTTGGCATCAACTCAACTCGACGTGTTTGGAGGAGGAGGAATGCTGCCTATGACCCCAAGAACACAACCCCAACCGACAAACATGGAGGTGGAAACATTATGCTTTGGGGGTGTTTTTCTGCTAAGGGGACAGGACAACTTCACCACATCAAAGGGACGATGGACAGGGCCATGTACCGTCAAATCTTGGGTGAGAACCTCCTTCCCTCAGCCAGGGCATTGAAAATGGGTAGTTGATGGTTATTCCAGCATGACAATAACCCAAAACACACGGCCAAGGCAACAAAGGAGTGGCTCAAGAAGAAGCACATTAAGGTCCTGGAGTGGCCTAGCTAGTCTCCAGACCTTTAATTCCATAGAAAATCTGTGGAGGGAGCTGAAGGTTCGAGTTGCCAAATGTCAGGCTCGAAACCTTAATGACTTGGAGAAGATCTGCAAAGAGGAGTGGGACAAAATCCCTCCTGAGATGTGTGCAAACCTGCTGGCCAACTACAAGAAACGTCTGACCTCTGTGATTGCCAAAAAGGGTTTTGCAAACAAGTACTAAGTCATGTTTTGCAGAGGGGTCAAATACTTATTTCCCTAATTAAAATGCAAATCAATTTATAACATTTTTGACATGCGTTTTTCTGGATTTTTTTGTTGTTATTCTGTCTCTCACTGTTCAAATAAATCTACCATTAAAATTATAGACTGATCATGTCTTTGTCAGTGGGCAAACGTACAAAATCAGCAGGGGATCAAATACTTTTTTCCCTCACTGTAGTTGGGTGGGCTAATTACAGATGGGCTGTGTACAGGTGCAGTGATCGGTAAGCTGCTCTGACAACTGATGCTTAAAGTTAGTGAGGGAGATAAGTGTCACCAGCTTCAGAGTCATTTGCAGCAGAGAACTGGAAGGAATGGCGACCAAAGGAGGTGTTGGCTTTGGGGATGACCAGTGAGATATACCTGCTGGAACGCATACTATGGGTGGGTGTTGCTATGGTGACCAATGATCTAAGATAAGGCAGGGATTTGCCTAGAAGTGATTTATAGATGACCTGGAGCCAGTGGGTTTGGCGACGAATATGTAGTGAGGGCCAGCCAACAAGAGCGTACAGGTCACAATGGTGGGTAGTATATGGGGCTTTGGAGACAAAACGGATGGCACTGTGATAGACTACATCCAATTTGCTGAGTAGATTGTTGGAGGCTATTTTGTAAATGACATCGCCAAAGTCAAGGATCGGTAGGATAGTCAGTTTTACGAGGGCATGTTTGGCAGCATGAGTGAAGGAGGCTTTGTTGCAAAATAGGAAGCCGATTCTAGATATAACTTTGGATTGGAGATGCTTAATGTGAGTCTGGAAGGAGAGTTTACAGTCTAACCAGACACCTAGGTATTAGTAGTTGTCCACATACTCTAGGTCAGACCCGCCGAGAGTAGTGATTCTAGTCGGGCGGGCGGGTGCAAGCAGCGTTCGATTGAAGAGCATGCATTTAGTTTTACTAGTGTTTAAGAGCAGTTGGAGGCTACGGAAGGAGTGTTGTATGGCATTGAAGCTCGTTTGGAGGTTTGTTAACACAGTGTCCAATGAAGGGCCAGATGTATACAAAATGGTGTCGTCTCCGTAGAGGTGGATCTGAGAGTCACCAGCAGCAAGAGCGACATCATTGATATACACAGAGAAAAGAGTCGGCCCAAGAATTGAACCCTGTGGCACCCCCATAGAGACTGCCATAGGTCCAGACAACAGGCCCTCCGATTTGACACATTGAAGTACACTGAAGTAGTTGGTGAACCAGGCGAGGCAGTCATTTGAGAAACCAAGGCTATTTAGTCTGCCAATAAGAATGCGGTGGTTGACAGAGTCAAAAGCCTTGGCCAGGTCGATGAAGACGGCTGCACAGTACTGTCTATTATCGATCGCGGTTATAATATCGTTTAGGACCTTGAGCGTGGCTGAGGTGCACCCATGACCAGCTCGGAAACCGGATTGCATAGCTGAGAAGGTAAGGTGTGATTCGAAATGGTCGATGATCTGTTTGTTAACTTGGCTTTCAAAATCTTTCAAAAGGCAGGGCAGGATGGATATAGGTCTGTAACAGTTTGGATCTAGAGTGTCACCCCCTTTGAAGAGGGGGATGACCGCGGCAGCTTTCCAATCTCTGGGGATCTCAGACGTTACGAAAGAGAGGTTGAACAGGCTAGTAATAGGGGTTGCGACAATTTCGGCGGCTATATTTAGAAAGAAAGGGTCCAGATTGTCTAGCCCAGATTACTTGTAGGGGTCCAGATTTTTGCAGCTCTTTCAAAGCTCTACATCAAGATAGCTAGCTAATGTGAAGTTAGGTATTACTATTTACCTGTGAATAACCAGACCTTCGTACAAACTTGCTATGCTGAATTCTTGACGCACGATCGAACGTGCTGCTACATGATGCCAAATGCTACCAGCCACGCCCACAAGCCAGCCACTCTGGGCAGCTGTAGCGGCTCGAGGCAATTTACTACAGGGGGCATTACTATTATGTTCAGTTAGTCAATCACCCTGTGATGCTCTCTCTCTCTCTCTCTCTCTCTCTCTCTCTCAACAATGCAGAGAAAGAAATATAAATAGTGTATAGGGACTTTAGTGGTCTAATAATTGGTGATAATTGTTGACTTCCTTAATTAATCTGCCTACTATTTCAAATGAATAACGTTGTATAAGGGCACCGGTAATAATTGTTTATTCAAAGACAACAATTAACTTGAAACTCTGATTAGTAGTTTAGCCTCCGTTCATCAAGTCTCATATCAACAATCTTAAAGGATACCTAAGGTTCTTTAATTGTCTTAGAGCATTTCTCTCTCTCTCTCTCTCTCAAAGTATAACTCCCTCTCAAAGTATAACTCCTTATGTGTGTCCTCTCCTGGTCCTCTCAGGGCCGGGCACAAACCTTTCAGGTGATAGGTGCTCATAATTAATATCTTGAAATGTATAACATACCAAATGCCTCTGTAGCTAACATTTGAAATTTTTTGAGCACAGGCCTATTTATTTATACAAAAACACACTCACTCATCATCAATCTAATTAGCAATCTAGTTAGTGCCTCCCAAAGACACTGTTGACATTGGGAAAAGGGGGTGGGCTATCAGGTGATCATTGATTGATGATAGTTAGCTAGCTCAATTTATTTTAGTGATCCTGATTTACCTCTCTCTGTGTTACTTCTTCTCTCTTCTGCAGGTATCAGCCAAGCAGACCGAATATTGATGACGGTGTAGGCTAAATCATGTGTTATCAAATGTTAGTAAAATGTTATGCTGCTGTGGCAGTACGGTGTGATATTTAAACGAGGTAGCTAGCTACACACATTCGACCGGTGACCGCATCTCTCAAAACCATGCGTGTTTGGATACCGGGCATGGGGAAAAAGGCGCAACCGGGCGCGGCGCGAGCTCAGTACAGGGCAGACCAACCGGGCGCGGCGCGAGCTCAGAACAGGGCAGACCAACGGGGTGGGGGGGATAGCGAACTTGACGAGGACTTGGGGGCAGTGGGTTCCAAACAATAACGATCCCAAAAATTATAACCCAAAAATATTTTTGGGGAAATTACACCACCACCCAAAAGAGAACTTTGGAGACTGGAGACAAAGGGGCATGTGCTCTGTCTGCACATGTAGAGCCCTGTCTGTGCACGTTCATGGTCCCTCTACATCTCTGTCTGTATGTGACTAGAAGCCAATGCTTGTCGTGATATAACAATGCTTGTCGTGATATAAGCGTCATCAAATTAGAAACGTCTCCTTCTGCTGGACGCAGGTTGTTATTTACTGGGATGAATCTTGCTCTGGAGGCAGCTCTGCAGAGCCACAAAGTCATAACATCTTATTTTAAACCTAACCATTAACCATAACCATACTGCTAACCCTAATGCCTAATCCTAAACTTAATCCTAAACTTAAATTAAGACCAAAAAGCTCATTTTTGTTTTCATGAATCTTCATGATAATTTTGACAATTTTGGCTTCTATCGGAAATCGCTCAGTTCTGCCTCCGGGGCAAGATTCGTGACAGCAAACGTCAACCTGTGCTTTTTCACTGAATGTGATGACGACACACGGTAAAGCCATGCGTCACTTGGGGTGTGAGATGACGTAAGACAAACACATGATGGCTTGTTATTGATTAGCCAACAGTGACCATGCATGGTGAGTAGTGCAGTATGCTCACAAGGAGTCGGTGAACCAGAAGGTTATTTCTGATGAATTAACTAACACCATGGGGTAACGGGTGGAGTTTCAAGTTTGGGGAAGATAATTTTTTCAAACATATAAATATGCACCTTTATAATAAAGCATTCCATGCATCATTGCATTTGCAGACTTACGTCAGATAGTCTACTATTGATAATGTGGTGAGTAGATTGGATAGTCATAGTTTAGGCTAATAATAGAACTCAATCACTGTGGTCTTCTGTAGCTCAGCTGGTAGAGCACGGCGCTTGTAACGCCAAAGTAGTGGGTTCGATCCCCGGGACCACCCATACACAAAAATTTATGCACGCATGACTGTAAGTCGCTTTGGATAAAAGCGTCTGCTAAATGGCATATTATTATTATTATTACTGTCCACAAAAAAATAATGTTCAATGCATGGCTGAGCGCACATAGCATAGAGTAGACTTGGGCTATAGGCTATATCAGATACGTTTCTTCTTTCTTTGGTGGAGTTCGTTTCGCATCGCCCGGTGCCCCAGGTGGGTGGAGATTTCACTTAAATCTAATGGTCTGAAATGAGAAAACGGCAGGGCACAGGGCCATGTAAAACAAACCCGCGTTCTCTCTGCATCTCCGCCAATCTGTCTCCCATCACCTCGGTCCACACTGGGCGCGTTCTCTCCACAGCTCCACCAATCTGTCTCCCATCACCTTGTTGTTGTTGTTGTTGTTGTTGTTGTTGTTGCTTTCCTCTTCACCATCATTGTTTTGGTCTCACATGCTGCGTGCTCATTGTCAGCTGTCCTTGCCCAATCGCATCATTGAGCTAACATTGACGACATGCATGTCAGTCTCTCCTGGCTCAGAGTGGAAGAGAGATTGACTTCATCACTGCTTGTTTTTGTGAGAGGTGTCTACGATCTGAATGTACCCGAGCTGTCTGTTTGGAATACTGGCACACAGTATGCATAACCCACAAGACATGCCTCCAGAGGTCTCTTCACAGTCCCCAAGTCCAGAACGGACTATGGGAGGCGCACAGTACTACATAGAGCCATGACTACATGGAACTCTATTCCACATCAGGTAACTGATGCAAGCAGTAGAATCAGATTTAAAAAACAGGTAAAAATACACCTTGTGGAACAGCGGGGACTGTCAAGAGACACACACAGGTACATACACACATACATATAGACACTCACTCTACACACACGTACACATGGATGTTGTATTGTAAATATGTGATAGTGGAGTAGTGGCCTGAGGGAACACACTAAATGTATTAAGTGTTATGAAATATAATGTAATGTAATATTTTTAATTGTATATAACTGCCTTAATGTTGTTGGACCCCAGGAAGAGTATCTGCTGCCTTGGCAGGAACTAATGGAGATCAATAATAAATACAAATACAAATAGCACTGCTCTTACTACAAGATGCATGACAAAAAATGGTCAGAAAATTATGGGGACATGTGACAGGGGTCTGGATCAGTAGCGGTGCGTGGGTAAAATCACCAAGCTATTCCAGGGGGGGAAAAAGCCATATTACAACCTACAGTGGGGAGAACAAGTATTTGATACACTGCCGATTTTGCAGGTTTCCCTACTTACAAAGCATGTAGAGGTCTGTAATTTTTATCATACATTTACATTTACATTTAAGTCATTTAGCAGACGCTCTTATCCAGAGCGACTTACAGTATAGTCACATTATTATTATACTTTATTTTTTATTTTTCAAACCCCCTGTGGGAATCGAACCCACAACCCTGGCGTTGCAAACGCCATGCTCTATCAACTGAGCTACATCCCTGCCGGCCATTCCCTCCCCTACCCTGGACGACGCTGGGCCAATTGCGCGCCGCCCCATGGATCATAGGTACACTTCAATTGTGAGAGACGGAATCTAAAACAAAAATCCAGAAAATCACATTGTATGATTTTTAAGTAATTAAAATATAACTATAATTTGTAAAATTTTATAGTACAAATTATTTTATTTTTAGTATTATTTGTTACTATAATAACAACCTATGTGTTGTGATAATTGCGTTGTTTGCTCTATAACCTGTTAGTTTATGTGCCTTGACACCGTGATCTAAAGGCAGAGACAATAAGAATAAATTCAACCACACCTTTGTTTAATCACAAAGCCGGAGAGCAACATCTGTCCGGTGGAGTCCACAAAGCCTATTGGATGAAACAAACAGTTACATGACCTACAGCACGGTCAAGGAAGTTCATGTTTCTGACGTTTTCGGACCACTAAACAACTATTGATTTAGAACAGAGTTACCGGAAGTCGCAAAGAAAACAGGAGATATGCCTCCACTATTCCAGCAACATTTCAACATCATCAAATCACCGACTGTATGCTTAGTTTAATACAGTGACAACTAAATGATTCCAAAAACAATTTAGTCCAATCAACGTAAGCGTGGCTGTCCATGGTACGGATTTCTCTGAATGTGTGTGTGTGTGTGCTTAAGTAGAAAAAACATGTTGACTCACCCTACTTGTAGAGAAACGCCAACGCCGTCCTCCTCTCTTTCATGTTCCCGAAACTTCTATGACTCTGTCATACAGTACACTGTAGTGTATTAGGATTATGTCTTTGTTAATGGTTTTTTAAGTGGAACTGAAAGAATGTTGTTTATGTTAGTTCAAAAGTAGCCAGTTGTAGGGTGACGCCCCAGGGGAGACAGGTGATTGGACAGCAGGGGGAGCAACCCATATTTTCACATTGTTTATAAGTATATGCTGGAGGGATAGGGGGCAGAGCAGCCATTACAATTCGAGGACACTGCTCTCCGGATGTCATGACATCTGTCACTTATGCTGAAGCTTGTGATATGAATAAACCTTATGATCCAAGTTCAGTATGAGCAGACTCCTTTGTTTATCAGCAATAATTGCCATCATTCACCCGATACGACAACACGCTTTTAATTTTTTGTTGTCTTAGGCTACATGGCTAAAATGCTTGCTCGCTAGCCTAACTTCCTTTCATGGGCAACTATGAGCCAGCTAGTTAACATTAGCCTACTACATCTAGCTACATATTGAACGTCCATCCTCTCAGGCCAGATACACAATGTATGCATTTATGGTTGGATCAGAATTGCCGTTATAATCATTGGCCAGTACGGATAATTAAATTAAACCACAAGTTGAAATCCCTATCTCCACCCATGGCTAAATTGGGAAAGGGACAATTTTAGCTAGCTGGCTAGCCACCAGAGGACAACCAGATGCAACAATTCAAGTTATTTTCTGTCAATGATGTTTGGCTTTTGATGTGATGTGATTGGCTCATTGTTCTATCTGTGTGATTGGTGTGAAGCCAAATCCAAACTGGCTTCCCGTGACAGTTTTATTTTTGGTGCGCCAGGACCATTCACAGTTGAGCTCACTCAGTTTAGCTATTGGCTATTATTGTATATTTTTTTTATCAAGGGAGGCCAAATGCTCGCTAGCTTCGCTTGCATTCAATGCTACGGGCGGCAACAATGTCATACTCTTTTTGACCAGACAGCATCAGATAGATGGGCCACACATACAGAGACAGAGGGGGCGCTGTTTCACTCCCTCGGATGCTTTCTCCGCGGAGATACAGTACCAGTCAAAGGTTTGGACACATCAACTCATTCAAGGGTTTTTCTTTATTTTTTACTATTTTTTACATTGTAGAATAATAGTGAAGACATTAAAAACGATGAAATAACACATATGGAATCATGTAGTAACCAAAAAAGTGTTTAACAAATCAAAATATATTTTATATTTGAGATTCTTCAAATAGTTACCCTTTGCTGCTTTGATGACAGCTTTGCACACTCTTGCCATTCTCTCAACCAGCTTCAACTGGAATGATTTTCCATACAGTCTTGATGGAGTTCCCACATTTGCTGAGCATTTGTTGGCTGCTTTTCCTTCACTATGTGGTCCGACTCATCCCAAACCATCTCAATTGGGTTGAGGTCAGGGGATTGTGGAGGCCAGGTCATCTGATGCAGCACTCCATCACTCTCCTTCTTGGTAAAATAGCCCTTACACAGCCTGGAGGTGTGTTGGGTCATTGTCCTGTTGAAAAACAAATGATAGTCCCACCAAGCCCAAACCAGATGGGATGGCGTATCGCTGCAGAATGCTGTGGTAGCCATGCTGGTTAAGTGTGCCTTGAATTCTAAATAAATCATAGACAGTGTCACCAGCAAAGCACCCCCACACCATAACACCTTCTCCTCCATGATTTACGGTGCGAACTACACATGCGGAGATCATCCGTTCACCTACACAGCGTCTCACAAAGACACAGCGGTTGGAGCCAAAAATCTCCAATTTGGACTCCAGACCAAAGGACATATTTCCACCGGTCTAATGTCCATTGTTTGTGTTTCTTGGCCCAAGCAGGTCACTTCTTCCTATTGGTGTCCTTTAGTAGTGGTTTCTTTGCAGCAATTCGACCATGAAGGCCTGATTCACACAGTCCCCTCTGAACAGCTGATGTTGAGATGTGTCTGTTACTTGATCTCTGTGAAGCATTTATTTGGGCTGCAATTTCTGAGGCTGGTAACTCTATTGAACTTATCCTCTGCAGCAGAGGTAACTCTGGTTCTTCCATTCCTGTGGTGGTCCTCATGAGAGCCAGTTTCATCATAGTGCTTGATGGTTTTTGCCACTGCACTTGAAGAAACTTTCAAAGTTCTTAAAAATTTTCCAGATTGCGGGACAGGATGGCAACAACAACTGCCCGAGTTACACCAGGAACGCACAATCCCTCCATCGGTGCTCACACTGTCCGCAATAGGCTGAGAGAGGCTGGACTGAGGGCTTGTAGGCCTGTTGTAAGGCAGGTCCTCACCAGACATCACCGGCAACAACGTCGCCAATGGGCACAAACCCACCGTCGCTGGACCAGACAGGACTGGCAAAAAGTGCTCTTCACTGACGAGTCGCGGTTTTGTCTCACCAGGGGTGATGGTCGGATTCACGTTTATCGTCGAAGGAATGAGCGTTACACCGAGGCCTGTACTCTGGAGCGGAATCGATTTGGAGGTGGAGGGTCCGTCATGGTCTGGGGCGGTGTGTCACAGCATCATCGGACTGAGCTTGTTGTCTTTGCAGGCAATCTCAACGCTGTGCGTTACAGGGAAGACATCCTCCTCCCTCATGTGGTACCCTTCCTGCAGGCTCATCCTGACATGACCCTCCAGCATGACAATGCCACCGGGCCATACTGCTCGTTCTGTGCATGATTTCCTGCAAGACAGGAATGTCAGTGTTCTGCCATGGCCAGCGAAGAGCCCGGATCTCAATCCCATTGAGCACGTCTGGGACCTGTTGGATCAGAGGGTGAGGGCTAGGGCCATTCCCCACAGAAATGTCTGGGAACTTGCAGGTGCCTAGGTGGAAGAGTGGGGTAACATCTCACAGCAAGAACTGGCAAATCTGGTGCAGTCCATGAGGAAGAGATGCACTGCAGTACTTAATGCAGCTGGTTGGCCACACCAGATACTGACTGTTACTTTTGATTTTGACCTCCCCGTTGTTCAGGGACACATTATTCAATTTCTGTTAGTCACATGTCTGTGGAACTTGTTCAGTTTATGTCTCAGTTGTTGAATCTTGTTATGTTCACACAAATATTTACACATGTTTAGTTTGCTGAAAATAAATGCAGTTGACAGTGAGAGGACGTTTCTTTTTTTGCTGAGTTTAGTTAGCTAGCTCTCTCACAAGACAGGCCAAGTTAGCTGCATTGTTGCTTGCATACGATTGGCTGTGGTCTCCAAACACTAATGAAAGCATGATGTTAGCATGAAATGTACCATCCCTTAGTGTAGCAATCAATAAAAATGTATGCGCTGATCCATAATGGGCTCTGCCACCTCAGCCATACTGTCAAATCTATCATCAATACGTCCACTCCTATTTATAGAGTTTATCTTGTAACAAACAACTTGTGTTATGTTGTGATCACAAGAAAATTGTCTTGTGATCTCGACAAAACTAGGGAATATTTTTTTTTTGTTTGTCATATGTCCTCTCTGGACTTCTGTAGATCCTAGCCCAACTTCATAAGGATCATGAACATTCGTCTTGGAGGGCAGAAGATAGGCTGTACTGTTGTTCGCTGAATTAAGTTGATCATTTTGATAGCTACAAGACAGATAAGAGTATTTTTTATTGTCTTCTCTTTACAGCAGCAGCCATTTTTGGTTTCCAAACGAGGTTTTCCTGCGATTATATTTTGAATTATTGTGATATGTCTGGCTAGGCCTCTACCTTTTCACTGACAGTCGCAAGTCAACAATCAAGTAATTGATATTTGCAGCGCGGCCTGTCCAAAATTGCGAATTCTGCCTTTCCTTCCGACTGTAGACAACGCAAATTTTAAAACAATCCACAACTAATTATCCTCTGTGGCCAAATCTGTGGCTTTGGTAGCCTATTTTGGACGATTGAATGTATTTCTGTATAGACAGGAGTAGGATAATTAGGCTGTATCATTTTGGCAATTAAATTGACTTTAGGGAAAGCTTAGCTTCCTCTGGTCGTATGGCTGACATTGAAAAGAGCTAGGCTTGGTATGAGGCGTGTGAGAAAGCCAGTAAAACAGAGGAGAGAGAGATTAAGATGAAGTAAAACATGGTGCATTCTTAGAAATAGATTAACGAATAAATGAGTGAATGAGCCATAAGCCAAAAGAGAGAGTGAGAGTCAGAGACGCCAATATCATTTGTCAGAACAGAGTGTGATTGTTTTATAATTTTATTGAATAGATTTGTAGTAGTATCAAAGAGTTACTGTTCATATGTACAAAACAAATAAATGTAAATAAGTATACAGATCTTAATTTTACAAGTTTCTCACAGCAGGAAAATAATCCTGCAGCAACAGGAAATGTAAGTTAGTGTGTCGATTATAATGAATTGACATTTTTGTAGGGGTTGACAAATTTTTTTGTTAGGGCAAATCAAGTCTGAAATCTTAAAGTGGATATTACACATTTAAGAATAATTTTTAAACCTTGAATACACTAAAAGTTAGCATTACTGCTGCACAGGCCATTTCAATAACAGGGTGATCAAATTAAGATGACATTTACTTTAGTTCCTTCTCAGGCAATGCAATTCCACTTGTTACTCCAAGACACAGATCTAGGATCAAGGCCCGTATTCACAAAGAGTCTCAGAGTAGGAGTGAGTAGTGAGTGAGTAGTGAGTGAGTAGTGAGTGAGTAGTGAGTGAGTGAGTAGTGAGTGAGTGAGTAGTGAGTGAGTGAGTAGTGAGTGAGTAGTGAGTGAGTAGTGAGTGAATAGTGAGTGATAGTGAGTGAGTAGTGAGTGAGTAGTGAGTGAGTGAGTAGTGAGTGAGGTAGTGAGTGAGTTGAGTAGGAGTGAGTGGTGAGTGTGAGTGAGTGAGTGAGTGAGTAGTGAGTGGAGTAGGCGTGAGTAGTGGAGTGAGAGTGAGGTAGTGAGTGAGTAGTGACGTGAGTAGTGAGTGAGTAGTGAGTGAGTGAGTGAGTGAGTGGTGAGTGTGGTGAGTGGTGTGAGTGAGTCAGTTGATGACGTAGTGCAGCTGATGTAGCAGTGCTGTGATAGTGCAGTATCGTGATGTACTGATGTGGTGAGTATTCGGTTAGTACGTTGACTGATTAGTAGTGAGTGACGTAGTGATGAGTGATAGTGATAGTGAGTTGCTGTCAGGATCAGTAAGTTATCTAGACATGATTAGGATCAGTCACTTGCATGTCCTCACACAGATGCTTGTGATATTAGGCAAGTTTACCTTCCCCAGGTCCTAACTTACTCCTAGACACTGATTTAGGGTCAGTTTACCTTCCCCAGGTCCTAACTTACTCCTAGACACTGATTTAGGGTCAGTTTACCTTCCCCAGGTCCTAACTTACTCCTAGACACTGATTTAGGGTCAGTTTACCTTCCCCAGGTCCTAACTTACTCCTAGACACTGATTTAGGGTCAGTTTACCTTCCCCAGGTCCTAACTTACTCCTAGACACTGATTTAGGGTCAGTTTACCTTCCCCAGGTCCTAACTTACTCCTAGACACTGATTTAGGGTCAGTTTACCTTCCCCAGGTCCTAACTTACTCCTAGACACTGATTTAGGGTCAGTTTACCTTCCCCAGGTCCTAACTTACTCCTAGACACTGATTTAGGGTCAGTTTACCTTCCCCAGGTCCTAACTTACTCCTAGACACTGATTTAGGGTCAGTTTACCTTCCCCAGGTCCTAACTTACTCCTAGACACTGAGTTAGGGTCAGTTTTTCCTTCCCCAGGTCCAACTACTCCTAGACACTTGATTTAGGGCAGTTTACCTTCCCCAGGGCCGTAACTTACTCCTAGACCAATGATTTAGGGTCAGTTTACATTTCCCCAGGTCCTAACTTACTATAGGAACTGATTGAGGGTCAGTTTACCTTCCCAGGTCCTAACTTACTCCTAGACCACTGATTTAGGGTCAGTTTACCTTCCCCAGTCCTAACTTACTCCTGACACTGATTTAGGGTCAGTTTACCCTTCCCCAGGTCCTAACTTACTCCTAGACACTGATTTAGGGTCAGTTTACCTTCCCCAGGTCCTAACTTACTCCTAGACACTGATTTAGGGTCAGTTTTACCTTCCCCAGGTCCTAACTTACTCCTAGACACTGATTTAGGGTCAGTTTACCTTCCCCAGGTCCTAACTTACTCCTAGACACTGATTTAGGGTCAGTTTACCTTCCCCAGGTCCTAACTTACTCCTAGACACTGATTTAGGGTCAGTTTACCTTCCCCAGGTCCTAACTTACTCATAGACACTGATTTAGGGTCAGTTTACCTTCCCCAGGTCCTAACTTACTCATAGACACTGATTTAGGGTCAGTTTACCTTCCCCAGGTCCTAACTTACTCATAGACACTGATTTAGGGTCAGCTTACCTTCCCCAGGTCCTATCCTTAACATACACATACAGTACAGCTCTGACCGTAACCATTAGAGGAGAAAAAAGCAACAAACTGAAAGCAGAAGTGCTATAGAATGTCCCGGATAGAAATGTCCCACCAGCCTTCTGAGTTATTAAAGTACACGCAGAGTAAATGGTAGAGAGAATTTATGACTGTTGAGGTTAATTAAAGTCAATTCCATTCAAACTGTATTGCTGTTGGTGGCAGACAGTAGTATATAACCCACTGTATTGCTGTTGGTGTACAAAACATTAAGAACACCTTCCTAATATTGAGTTGCCTCCCCCCCCTCAATTTGTCGCGGCATAGACTCTACAAGATGCCGAAAGCATTCCACAGGGATGCTGGCCCATGTTGACTGGATGTAATTGTGTGGTGGACCATTCTTGATTGACACGGGAAACTGTTGAGCGTGAAAAACCCAGCAGCGTTGCAGTTCCTGACTCAAACCGGTGCGCCTGGCAGCATACCCCATTCAAAGGCACATAAATATTTTGTCTTGCCCATTCATCCTCTGAATGGCACACATACACAATCCATGTCTCAATTGTCTCAAGGCTTCAACATCCTTCTTTAACCGGTCTCCTCCCCTTCATCTACACTGATTTGAAGTGGATTTAACAAGTGACATCAATAAGGGATCATAGCTTTCACCTGGTCAGTCTATATCATGGAAAGAGCACGTGTTCTTAATGTTTTGTACACTCAATATATAATCCACTGTATTGCTGTTGGTGGCAGACAGTAGTATATAATCCACTGTATTGTTGGTGGCAGACAGTAGTATATAATCCACTGTATTGCTGTTGGTGGCAGACAGTAGTATATAATCCACTGTATTGTTGGTGGTGGCAGACAGTAGTATATAATCCACTGTATTGGTGGTGGCAGACAGTAGTATATAATCCACTGTATTGCTGGTGGTGGCAGACAGTAGTATATAATCCACTGTATTGCTGGTGGCAGACAGTAGTATATAATCCACTGTATTGTTGGTGGTGGCAGACAGTAGTATATAATCCACTGTATTGTTGGTGGTGGCAGACAGTAGTATATAATCCACTGTATTGTTGGTGGTGGCAGACAGTGGTAAATCCAACCCGTGTCACTGTCAACTAGTCCGTTTTCTGCTCTGTGCTGCTGTCCTTGTAGAGCAGTGGTTTCCAACCAGGGGGAACTTGGCCTATCCACAGAGGGTACTTACCCATGAGGTACTTCAGGGGCACTCCGGGCAGAGCAAAATTCAGTTGGCGCTACAGTAACTGAGAAAGGTTGGGAACCACTTGCTGAAGAGTACTCTGCTCTGTGCTGCTGTCCAGAAGAGGAGCTTCCGATCCCCTCCCCTAGTGTCTCTCTCGTAGCCTGTACCCCCCCCCCCCCCCCCCCCCGCTCCCCATTTTAGGTAATCCACCATAGAAAGCAGTTTTAATCCAAAAAACGAGGAGATGCTGAATGATCTCCCCTTTCTTTCCTTATATTATATACAGCCTCAGGTCTACGAGACCTCCAGCAGGTGGAACCCTCCGTTGGCCTCTCGTTGTGTCTCTCTCTTCCTGGTCTGGACCAGGGTAAAGACCAGAGCAGACAGAGTGTTCCTCCCCAGGCCCAAACCCCCGCGGTTCACACTGCGCTCCACGCAGCTGGAACACGACTCGCGGCTCCTCACGAAGTACGTCTTGACGTTCCCCTGCCGCTCGCTCACACCCTTCACGTAGATCTCCCCCCTCAGCTCCCGAACGAAGCCACGCTCCGCCAGGACATGACTGGTACTCTCTGGGACCTGGGACAAACACACACACACACACACACACACACACACCACACACACACACAGAAGTTGTCATAAAGCGCCGCACATTAACCCACACATTAACACGCCAAACCTCTGTTACACGCCAGCCCGCACACGCCAGCCCGCCCCCACCCAGCCACCCACACACAGTCCTACCTGTATGCGTCCACTGACCCCGGTGCTGTCCATACGGCTGGCCAGGTTGACTGTCATTCCCCAGATATCATACTGAGGCTTAGTGGCTCCTATCACCCCAGCCACCACTGGACCATGAGCTATGCCTACACACAAAGGTCAGAGGTCAAGGTGTGTGTGTGTGTGTGTGGGGGGGTTTGTGTTCTCACCAACACGGAGCTGGAAGCTGTTCCCAGAGTGTGTGTGTTTGTGTTCTCACCAACACGGAGCTGGAAGCTGTTCCCAGAGTGTGTGTGTTTGTGTTCTCACCGACACGGAACTGGAAGCTGTTCCCAGAGTGTGTGTGTTTGTGTTCTCACCAACACGGAGCTGGAAGCTGTTCCCAGAGTGTGTGTTGATTCGTTTGAGCGTCTCCTGCATTTCCAGGGCAAACAGCACCAGCTCACTGAGGTGACGCCACTCATCCTCACACTCCTACACACGCACACGCACATGCTCACGCACGCACACGCACACACGCACACGCACACGCACACGCACACGCACACGCACACACACACACATACACACACACACACACACACACACACACACACACACAGATCTTATTACTATTCCTACAAATTCAACTCAAATGTAAAGTCGAAGTCTACTTTGAACAGAAGGAAGCCAAGCGCTGATGGACACGTGACTAAAAGACACTAAACGGGATCGAATTGAAGGTCAGTCAATTCAGGAAGTAAACTGAAATTACATTTACATTTTAGTCATTTAGACAACGACTACAGGCGCTACGTTAGTGAATACATGTTTTTATTTTTATACTGCCCCACGTGGGAATCGAACCGACCTGGCGTTGCAACGCCATGTTACAATGGCTCATCCTGCCAGTGCATTCAAATCCCTACCCTGGAATCTGGGCCAAATTGCGCCGCCAAGAGTCTCTGAGTCGCAGGCCCTGCGACAAGCGATTGAACAGGTCTCTAGTGACCGTTAGCACTGGATGGCTGCTTAGAACGCGCCATCAGGAGTCAATCAATAATTGAAAAAGGGCCAATGGTTCAATGTCTTTTCGATAAACTGAAAACGACACTCTTTATTTTTTTTACAAATGTGTCAATTTCTGTAGTTTAAATTCAAATCACTTCCTGAATTGACTGCCTTAAATTGAAATTGAGTCCAACCCTGGGACACTAAGAGGGCTGCTGACCTGTTGATGGGGAGAGAGGCCAGAAGCAGCCATGTAACAGCTGCCAATGGTTTTGATTTTCTCAATGTCCTGGAAATATGTATCATCTAATAACTAGAGACAGAGAGAGAGAGATAGACAAACAGAGACAGTGAGAGACAGAGAGAGACAGTGAGAAACAGAGAGAGACAGTGAGAGACAGTGAGAGACAGAGAGCGACAGTGAGCGACAGTGAGAGACAGAAAGAGCGCGAGAGACAGAAACAGAGCGAGAGGTGGTTATTTGAGAAAACAAATCAATTGTACGCTGGTAATTTATCACAGAGAAATTGTGTGTGTAGGCAGCGTGTGAGTCAGTGTGTTGATTTGAATCGAACCTCGTCAAAGTCAGCTATGATCTCATTGAGAAGTCGTAGACACTCCACATCCTGATGGATCAACTCTTTCTGTTCATAGTAGTCTGTAAACCCGGGGATGGACGCAAACATCACCCCCACACGCTCATAGGACTGGGAGTACAGGTCCTACACACACACACACACACACACAGTCATGTAAACATTAAGATTGTCTTCTCTAGGACTGAGGACAGAGACCCAACAAAACACACGCGCACACCTCATTATGGCGGTCTCTCTCCAGGAAGTGCTGTGCGACGTGTGAAGGCAGAATGTTGAAGAGTAAACACTCATTGTGTTCCCTCAGCTCCTTCATGTCCTCCACTTCCTGTCTGGCCTGCAGACGCCAGAGGAAGTCCAGCCGCGCCGTCGCCTCCAACTGGACAGTAGGGGAACAACAACCATCACATGGAGTAGGGTAGGTGAAGGGAGGAGTAGGGAGGAGAGAGGAGGAGAGAGGAGAGAGGAGGAGAGAGGGAGGAGTAGGAGGGAGGAGGGAGGAGAGGGAGGAGTAGGGAGGAGAGATGAGGAGTAGAGAGGAGAGAGAGGAGGAGAGGGAGAGAGGAGGAGTAGAGAGGAGAGAGGAGGAGTAGAGAGGAGAGAGAGGTGAGGTAGAGGAGGAGAGAGGAGGAGAGAGTAAGGAGGAGTAGAGAGGAGAGAGGGAGGAGTAGGAAGGAGAGAGGAGGAGGAGTAGGGAGGAGAGATGAGGAGTAGAGAGGAGAGAGGAGGAGTAGAGGAGAGAGGAGGAGTAGGAGAGGAGGAGTAGGGAGGAGAGGGAGGAGAGAGGAGGAGGAGTAAGAGGAGAGAGGAGAGTGAGGAGGAGAGGAGAGAGGATGAGGGAGAGAGTAGAGAGGAGGAGAGAGAGGAGTAGAGAGGAGAGAGAGGAGAGAGTAGAGAGGAGGAGATGGAGGAGGAGAGGGAGAGAGAGAGGAGGAGGAGGAGGAGAGGAGGAGGAGGAGAGAGAGAGGAGAGAGGAGAGAGGAGGAGTAGAGAGGAGAGAGGAGGAGAAGAGGAGAGAGGAGGAGTAGAGAGGAGAGAGAGGAGGAGTGAGAGGAGAGAGGAGGAGGAGGAGGAGAGGGAGTAGAGGAGGAGGAGAGGAGAGAGGAGGAGTGAGAGGAGAGAGGAGGAGTATAGAGGAGAGAAGAGGAGTAGAGAGGAGAGAGGAGGAGAGAGGAGTGAGGAGAGAGGAGAGAGGAGGAGTGGAGGAGGAGAGAGGAGGATGAGAGGAGAGAGGAGGAGTAGAGAGAGAGAGGAGGAGGAGAGGAGAGAGGAGAGAGGAGGAGTGGAGAGGAGAGAGGAGATCGAGAGGAAGAGAGAGGAAGTAGAGAGGAGAGAGGGAGGAGTAGAGAGGAGAGGTAGGAGTGGAGGGAGAGAAGGAGAGTGGAGAGAGAGAGAGGAGAGAGAGAGAGAGGAAAAGGGAAGGAGAGAGCCCATGTCCTACCTGTCTACTGTTGTAAAGTACAGCCACCACAAACATGGCCATGAGCAGAACACACACATCCTTCCTCCTCAGGTACTGCTGCCTGCAAGGGACACACACAACCAGAAAGTCACCGCACGCACGCACGCACGCACGCACACACACAAACACACACAACCAGACAGTCACCGCAAGCACACGCAAGCGCGCACACACACACACACACACACAAACACACACACACACACAACATAACCAGACAGTCAACCAGTGTGTGTGTGTTTGTGTGTGTGTGTGTGTGTGTGTGTGTGTGTGTGTGCGCTTGCGTGTGCGTGCGGTGACTGTCTGGGTTGTGTGTGTGTGTGTGTGTGTGTGTGTGTGTGTGTGTGCGTGCGTGCGTGCGGTGACTTTCTGGTTGTGTGTTTGTGTGTGTGTGTGTGTGTTTGTGTGTGTGCGTGCGTGCGGGTGACTCTCTGTGTGTGTGTGTGTTTGTGTGTGTTTATTCAGTACCGGGTGTTTTCGGAGGTCTGGCGTATAAACAGTGTGTGGTAGCTGACTTCTATGAGGTAGGTGTAGACAGATATGGCCAGTAGTAACACTGCTAGCTTCAGTAGACAGTGCAGCCTGAAGAACACTGCACACGATACCATGGCCACAACCCCACTGAACACCAGGAACTAAAGAACACAGGGGGAGAGAGAGACAGGGGGAGAGAGACAGGGGGAGAGAGAGACAGGGGGAGAGAGAGACAGGGGGAGAGAGAGACAGGGGGAGAGAGAGACAGAGGGGGAGAGAGACAGGGGGAGAGAGAGACAGGGGGGAGAGAGACAGGGGGAGAGAGACAGTCACAAAATGTATCAAAACCTTCTTGACCAATCTATATCAAAATGTGTGTGTGTGTGTGTGTGTGTGTGTGTTACCTCAGGGTGTGTACAGATGTTGATAGGCCAGGACCAGGTCTGCTGCTGAGAGCTGCTTCTATTGTTAGGGTCCATCTCAGACTCTACACACCACAGCTAGAACACACTCACACCACACACACACACACACACACACACACACACAGGCACGCGCACACATTCAAACTGCAGAATTGAGCTACTTCAAAACAAGTTTACAATGCAGCAGATAGGCAAACCTTCATGAAATAACAGATCATGGTTGAGGGTGCAGCAAATATTGGGCATTCCGTACAATAATAAACTCACTATATCGGACGAGGCCACTCCGAAGTTGATGATTATGGCGGTGAGGGTGAGTAGTGTTCTGACACTCTTGGTCTCGTTGACCCAGCAGCAGAGGACCTTGCAGCACTAGAGGGCTCTGTTTAAACTCTTCAGCTAGGACCACCACCAGCAACAGTACATACACACACACACACACTCCAAACTGAACCAGCATAGGACACAGTCTGAGAGGGGTGTGTGTGTGTGTGTGTGTGTGTGTGCCGGTCAGAGAGATTGAGGAAGGAGAAGATAGAAATAGGAAGGGAGAGGATCAGACGATGAAGACAGAGGAAAGTATGTGAGTGGTAGAGAAAGAGAATTTGAAAGATCTTTAATAAATGAAGCAAAATAAAACTTTTAATTATATAAAGCATGAACACACACACCTTGCGGCGGGGACGAGGGCCTGTGCAGCCATGAGGAAGAGGAATATGATGAAGGAGCAGACCAGGTTTGACTTGAACATCTCATCACGCATCTGGGAAAACTGAGAAGAAGATAGGAACATTCCTCAATTAACCCACCCAGCCATCCACCCAGCCATCCACCCAGCCATCCATCCACCCAGCCATCCATCCACCCACCCACCCACCCACCCATCCACCCACCCAGCCATCCACCCAGCCATCCACCCAGTCAGCCATCCACCCAGCCATCCACCCAGTCAGCCATCCACCCACCAGCCATCCAACAGCACACCCAGTCACATCCACCCACCATCCACCCAGTCAGCCATCCACCCATCACCATCCACCCAGTCAGCCCATCCACCCAGTCAGCCCATCCACCCCAGCCATCCACCCACAGCCCATCCACCAGCCATCACCCACCCCAGCCATCCACCCAGCCATCCACCCAGTCAGCCATCCACCCATCCACCCACCCAGCCATCCACCCAGTCAGCCATCCACCCAGCCATCCACCCAGTCAGCCATCCACCCAGCCATCCAGCCATCCACCCAGTCAGCCATCCACCCAGCCATCCAGCCATCCACCCAGTCAGCCATCCACCCAGCCATCCAGCCATCCACCCAGTCAGCCATCCACCCAGCCATCCACCCACCCAGCCATCCATCCACCCAGCCATCCATCCACCCACCCAGCCATCCATCCACCCAGCCATCCATCCACCCAGCCATCCATCCACCCAGTCAGCCATCCACCCAGCCATCCACCCACCCAGCCATCCATCCACCCACCCAGCCATCCATCCACCCAGCCATCCATCCACCCAGCCATTCATCCACCCACCCACCCAGCCATCCACCCACCCAGCCATCCATCCACCCAGCCATTCATCCACCCAGCCACCCAGCCATCCACCCAGTCAGCCATCCATCCGAAGCCATCCACCCACCCACCCAGCCATCCACCCACCCAGCCATCCACCCACCCAGCCATCCACCCACCTAGCCATCCATCCATCCACCCAGCCATCCATCCACCCAGCCATCCATCCATCCACCCAGCCATCCATCCACCCACCCAGCCATCCACCCACCCAGCCATCCATCCACCCAGCCATCCATCCACCCACCCAGCCATCCACCCACCCAGCCATCCATCCACCCAGCCATCCATCCACCCAGCCATTCATCCACCCATCCACCCAGCCATCCACCCACCCAGCCATCCATCCACCCAGCCATCCATCCACCCAGCCATTCATCCACCCAGCCACCCAGCCATCCACCCAGTCAGCCATCCATCCGAAGCCATCCACCCACCCACCCAGCCATCCATCCACCCAGCCATTCATCCACCCAGCCACTCAGCCATCCATCCGAAGCCATCCACCCACCCACCCAGCCATCCACCCACCCAGTCAGCCACCCACGCACCCACCCAGCCATCCACCCAGCCAGCCAGCCACCCACCCACCCACCCAGCCATCCACCCACCCATCCACCCACCCATCCATCCACCCATCCATCCACCCACCCAGCCATCCATCCACCCAGTCAGCCATCCACCCACCCATCCATCCACCCACCCAGCCATCCACCCAGCCATCCACCCACCCATCCATCCACCCATCCATCCACCCACCCACCCACCCACCCAGCCAGCCAGCCACCCACCCATCATTAAATCAACATGATTGAGTGATTTAGCCAACATACCAAGTAATCACCTAATCCTAAATGAATGAATGAATGAATGAGTGTGTGTGTGTGTGTGTGTGTGTGTGTGTGTGTGTGTGTGTGTGTGTGTGTGTGTGTGTGTGTGGCCCCTACCTTGCCCTCGATGTGTGTGTTTCTGTTGCGGGCCCCTACCTTGCCCTTGACGTGTGTGTTTCTGTTGCGGGCCCCTACCTTGCCCTTGACGTGTGTGTGTTTCTGTTGCGGGCCCCTACCTTGCCCTCGATGTGTGTGTCCTTGAACTCCTGTGTGAAGGTGGTGATGTGTTCCTGTCTCATGCGTTCGCTGCTCCGGACCTCGATGGCCTGGCGGATCCTCTTGTTGACTTCACGCGTCCCCGTCCGCTGAGCCGCTAGCTGGTTGGGTAACTGGGCCAGTGAGCCGTTGCTGAAGGTCGCCAGGATCTGGTCAGGGGTGAGAGGTTAGGGATCAAAGGTTAGATAGAGGATAGACAAAGATGATACTGACAACAGACTACACTCTAACAATGAGAATCAATGTCAGCAAAGGCGGAAGGCAGGCGGGAGGCAGGTGGGAGGCAGGTGGCAGGCGGGAGGCAGGTGGGAGGCAGGTGGCAGGCGGGAGGCAGGTGGGAGGCAGGCGGGAGGCAGGCGGGAGGCAGGGGCAGGGGAGGCAGGCGGGAGGCAGGCGGGAGGCAGGTGGGCAGGCGGGAGGCAGGGGGAGGCAGGCGGGGAGGCAGGTGGCAGGCGGGAGGCAGGCGGGAGGCAGGCGGGAGGCAGGTGACAGGCGGAAGGCAGGTGGCAGGCGGGAGGCAGGTGGCAGGCGGGTGGCAGGCAGGTGGCAGGCGGGTGGCGGCGGGAGGGAAGGCGGGAGGCAGGGCGCAGGAGGGTGGGTAGGCAGGCGGGGAGGCAGGCGGGGGGTGGGCAGGTGACAGGCGGAAGGCATGCGTGCAGGCGGGAGGGAAGGTGGCAGCGTTCCCCCGCCGGTGGCAGGCAGGTTGGCAGGAGGGGTGGCATTGGCGGGAGGAAGGTGGCTAGGCGGCGTGGAAGGAGGGTGGCAGGCGGGGATTGGCATGGTGGCTTAGGGGGGTTGGTCAGGCTGTTGTAGTGCAGGTGGGCAGGAGTTTTTGGGCTTGGCAGGCGTTTTAGGCGGGGGGTGGGGGTGGAAGCGAGGGAGGTGCCAGGTGGCAGGGGTTCTGGTTGCGCAGGCTAGGTGGCTATGGCTGTTGGAGGCAGCGTGGAAGTCGCGTTGGTGCAGGCGGGAGGCAGGTGGCAGGCGGGGTCGGCAGGCGGGTGTGGCAGACCATTCGGGTGCGCAGGCGGTCTGGTGGCAGGTAACGGGGGCCGGCCGGAGGCACTTTTTGTCCTCGGTGGCTGGCAGGTGGCAGGGGGGGCAGGCGGCGGTGGCAGCAGGTGCAGGCGGCGAGAGGTGGCAGGCTTACGGGCGTGGCCGGCGGTGGTGGCAGGCGGGAGGCAGGCGGGAGGTGACGGGAACCCGGCGGCGGGAGGCAGGAAGGAACATCCTAGCCAATGAGCATCCTATGGCACACTTCCATGTAAAAGAGTGTTTCTCAAATTTTGCCACGGATGCCACGTGAGTCCACTTACAGTATCAGTACAGTCGTCACAACCTAAGCGAAATTTATATTTGATCAAAATAGCCTCACGTAGCAAATTAGCACTCGATTATATGTTGACCAAATTCGACACTCTCATTGACCTCCATACTAACAATCCCCAATTCCACTTCTTAGCTCTTTTTTTTTGGCACTGACAGATTTTGGTGGTCGGACTCAGCCCTCTCGCTTCGCCTCTTCCTCTCTGGGCTAAAGGGTAAAAGTTAGGACTCAGGGGTCAGAGGTCACCTACACAGTTCATTCCGATGATGTTTCCAAACGGCAGCTCAGTACTCCAGCCAGTATTAACGGTCTCGTCTCGACTGGGCCGGCAAGCCTTCTTGGCAGGCGCCTCCTCATTGGGCGTGTGGCGAATCAGGAACGTGTCAATTTTGTGTTTCCGTAGAAACTCGTTCCTCTCGTGGCCACGCCCTTCTTCCGTCTCATAGACCCCGCCCAGACAGTCCAGCGTTGCCCGGGAGATGTGGATACGGCCCGGCACCCCTCCTACCTCCAGCATGTTAGCGATGTCCACATCCCAGGACCACACATCAAACTGCCACTTCTGCAGCCCCAGCACACTAAATTACACAGAATGAGAACCCGAGGGGTACGATCGATACGATGTACCACCATCATGTTTCACTCATTCGCAAACATACCTAAGGCAGGAAGGAAGGACAGAGAGAAAGACTGTTGTGAAAAACACAATATTACTAAAGGAACATACAATATTGATGGAATATAATTAGGATGATTTAAAAAGATGATTAAGTTGAGCGGCATGAAATTGTTGCACATAATTGTATAGTGTGGGTGTGTGTGTGTGTGTGTGGTGGGTTCTGTGGATTGTGGGTGATATGTGTCTGGGGTGGGTTGTGGGTTGGGTGTGTGCTTCTGTGGTTGCGTGTGTGTGTGTGGGGCTTGTGTGTGTGTGGTTGTGCTCTTTTTGCTGTGGTGATGTGTTGTGGTTTTGTGTGTGGTCGTGCTTGTGGTGTGTGTGTGGTTGTGTTGCTTGGTCGTGGGTTGCGTGTCTGTGTGTGTGGTGTGTGTAGGTTTGTGTGTGTGTGTGTGCGTTGTGTGGTTGTGTGGGTGTGGTTCGTGGTGTTTCGTGGTTGTCGGTCTCTGTGTGTGTTTGTGTGTGTGTGTGTGGTGTGTTGTGTGGCTTGTGGGTGTAGTGTGTGTGTGTGTCGTGTTGTGTGGTTGTGTGCTGTGTGTGTGTGTGTCTATGGTTGTGCTGTGCCTTGGGGTGTGGTTTGTTGTGGTGTGTGTGTGTGTCGCTATGGTCGTGTCCGCTCTAGCTGGGTTTGTCCTGTGTGTGTGTGTGTGTCTTTTCGTGTTATGTTGCTGTCCTTGCTGGCTCCTAGTTGTTGCTATCCAGTGTGTGGTTGTCAGCCCTTGGGTGTGTCCTCGCCTTTCTTTTCATGTGTGTGAGATTGTGTGTGTGTGTGTGTGTGTATGCATGTGTGCTGTGTTGTGTGGTTGTGTGTGTGTGTGTGGTGTGTGCTGTGGGTGTGGGGATGCGGGGTGTGCGTGTGGTGGGACGGTCTTCCTTGGTGTGTCGTGTGTTGTGTGGTGTGTGTGTGTGGTCATTGTTGGCGTGTGAGGTTGGTGGGGGGTGTGGTGGTGTGTGTGTGGTTGTGTGGTGTGGTGGGTCGTGCGGTGTTGTTGTGTGTGTGTTCTGTGTTGTGTGTAGTTTAATTTCTTGGTTCTGTTCCGATCTTATGGCATTTTGCAGGACCCATAATATTTTTAAAAAAAGTTCATTCCTGAGAGATCGTTTTTTTTGTGTTGTGTGTGTCGTCGTTGTGTGTGTGTGTGCAGTACTTTACTGTGTGCTTGGACCATGGAGAGGCCCCATCTCCCCTATTTCTCACAGCAGTTAGAGCTGTTGAGCTTCTCTTTTCAGGCTCTGGGAACCCTGCACACTTAGTACCCCTGTACACAGTTCCCCAAGGATCTGAATATGCATGGCAGTTTTTGTTGTGGGTGGTATGCTTTCTTCTTTGTATTAACAAACATTTCATTCATTCACTACTAACACAACATTGTTCATGTTAACATTACAGATGTTCCTTCTCTAGGTAACTCCATCACAAATGAAACATAATTGATTTGAATTTTATGAACTTTGCTTTTCCTCTAAGTTCAGGATTTTTACACATGTATTTCCGTGCGTCTACTAGCCGCCGCTGGTCGATGCGTCCCAACAGCTGTTTTGAGCTGTCTCGGCTAATTTTTCTGATGCCGCACAGGACCATTGGACCAGAGACTGTGAAGCTTTTATTATCAGCGAATACAGCAATACTTGCAAGTGTAAATTAAGGCAGAGGGTCGGAGAGAACAATTTTAACCATATAAGAAATATTTTTTAGACAACAAAGGGTCCGGGTTTGTCCTTCAACATTCAACATCAGACTACGCTCTGGTATTTTTTTCTTCTTTCCTTGTAATCGGTTTTTATCTTGTTCTTTACTATTTAGTAGACTAGCAGAACAACACCGCTAATACCTGGGTATGGATAAAATCCAGCAACCAAGACTTGTTTCCCGGACCCTAATTAAAGCATTTGTGTGGTGTGTGGTTTGGGTTTTTTGTGTGTGTTTTGGTGTGCGGTTGTGTTTGTGTGTACCGTGACTGTATTGTTACTGGTGATGAATATAAGATCTTGGGAAACTGGAATTTTTGTCGGCAACAGGTCGTCATCCATGTTGGGACATGTCAATTGCGACTCATCTACACGGCAACAAACCGCACGGAATGATTGATCTGTTCACCAAGCGATCCTGAGGAGGGACCAGGTACTGGTGATCTTATCATAGCGCTAGCGAGCGCGCGAAGGGTTGCCGTCGGGGCCTCCCCGTACCTGGCCCCCGCGTATATTAGGTTTTTTTCCGTTTTGTTGCTTGTTGGAGAGTCAAGCGCGCGCGCGCGGCGCGTAGCGCGCCGTGGGTTGCGGATGGCGCGCGCGCGTCGGGGTTGTTTACTGAAAGTTGGAATTGTCCTTGAGGAAAGAAGGTAGATCACCGCTAGAGAGATGAGAGAGCGCGATGTTCCACCGGTTAGTCCCGTTCTTCCCCTTCTCCCCCCCCTCTATTTTATCTATGTTTAGGAAAAGGGGTATTTCTCCCCCGGTCTAACTATGTTATGAGGAAAGGTATTTTCTATGTCTATTGGGAAAGGTTTTATTATAAGTATGTCAATCGTGGGGTTCCCTCTGTCGCTCAGTGGTTAGAGCAGGCGCTGGTAATGCCAAGGTAGGTCGGGTTCGATCCCCGGGACCACCCATACACAAAATTTATTGCTACCGCATTTGACTGTCTGTAAGTAGCTTTGGTATAAATATAAAAAGTTTTTGTCTGCTCTAAATGCAATTATAGGATTATGATTATATCTCTCGCACTTCTCTCTGTTTATGAAAGTTGATCGAGGACAGGTATGTAAATCGCTCTCGCTATTTACTCCTTAGTAATTTTTCTAGTATAAGATTTAGTATTCCACCCGGCTATTTTCTCTATGTTTATGAAAGTAAATGAAAGTTGGTATGTGTTTGGGTTCTTTCTTTTTTTCTTTCTTCCAGTCTGGATTTTCTTATGAGTAGCATGTGTCATATAACTATTCATTCATCTTCTTATTTTTGTGAATGAAAGGTCTAGCATTGAGGACAGGTAAGGTATTTTTCCTATGTCAATCTTCTCTCTCTTACTATGTTTATGTAAATTTGGTGCCCTTTCCCTTATTCCTACTTTTTTTCGTTTCTTTTTTTCCTTTTTCCCTTTCCTCCATTTTTCCTTCCTCCTTTTCTCTTTTTTATGAGGCCCCAGTCCCGTATGTCCAATCTCTCGCCACTCTCGCATTCTCTCTCTGTTTATAAAGTTGTCTGAGGAAGTACAGTGTTGGTCGAACAAGTATTTGATACACTTGCCCGATTTTCGATTTGCAGCTTTTCCTTCTATTACAATTAGCACGGTAGATCTTCGGTCTTGTTAATGTTATCATAGTTTTACACGCAACTGTGGAGAAACGGAATCTCAAACAACACTCAGGCAAATCACCTGTATGATTTTTAGTATTAATGCATGTTATTGCATTGATTGAATACGGATTTGAATCACCTTAACCAACCAGTAAGAAATTCCGGCCTTCACAGACCTGTTAGTTTTCTTTAAGAAAAGCCCTCCTGTTCTTTTTACAATCATTACCTGTATTTAACAGCACTCTGTTTAAACTCGTTACCTGTATAAAAGACACTGTCGACACCACTCAATCAACTAGACTCCATAACCTATCCACAATGCTGCAGACCCCAGAGAGTCGGTTGTAAGGACATCAGGGATACAATTGTAGACCTGCACAAGGCTGGGTGGGATGGGCCCATAAGGACAATAGGCCAAGCAGCCTTGGTGGAGAATTGGCAACAACTGTATCGGGCGCAATTAAATATTAGAAAATGGGAAAGAAGTCAAGATGACGGTTTCAATCTACCCCTTTGGTTCTGGGGCTCCATGCAAGATTTCAACCTCATGGTTTCCTTTGGCATCAATTGTCATGAGGAAGGTGCATTTCCGGGATTAGCCCAGAAACTACACAGCCGGACCTGGTCAAGACATGAAGAGTAGACCAAAGTCTCAAAGAAAAAACCATTAGTAAACACACTACGCCGTCATTGGATTAAAATCCTGCAGCGCATCGCAAGGTCCCCTGCTCAAGCCAGCGCATGTCCCCCCAGGCCTGTCTGAAGCTTTGCCATGACCATCTGGATGATTCCGAGGAAGAGGAATGGGAGAGGTCATGTGGTCTGATGAGACAAAAAATTAGAGCTTCTTTGGTATAAACTCACTCGCCGTGCGTTTGTTTTGCGAGGGAAAAGAAGGAAGGAAAAAAAGTAAAAAGAGAATGGTATGAGTACAACCCAAGAAACAACCCATTCCCAACCGTGAAGCAGGTAGGTGGAAACATCATTCATGGGGATTGGCTTTTCTGCAAAGGGCATCGATTTTTTCAGGCAAGATCACTACCTCATATTTTTGCCGACAGTCGTTGAACCAGGCGTTTGGAGGAGGGATGGGGACAATGTACGAGAGATCTTGGCCCAATCAACCTCCTTCAATCCGCTAACGAGCATTGTGAGGAGATTGGGTCGTGGGGGTCTTCCAGATGACAATGACAAGTCAAACACACAGCTAGTGGCCCCAACAAGGAGTGGATCCCGTAAGAGCATCTCAAGGTTCCTGGAGTGGCCCTGCCAGTCTCCAGACCTGAACCCAATTTGAAAATCTTTGGAGGGAGCTGAAAGTTGTGAAATTGTCCGTATCCCAGACGCCCCAGCCCCCGAAACCTCGTAAGTGCATTCTTGGAGAAGGTATGTATGGAGCGGTGGGCCCATAAAAAAATCCCTGCTGCCCAAAGTTTGATGAGACAGTAGGTTTTGTAAAATCCTCTCTATATTGTCTCTCTCTCTCCTCTCTCTCTCTCATGTTCGGTATTCTCTCTCTTCTAGGCTATCTCTCCTCTATCTTCTCTCTCTCTTCTCTCTCTCTCTGCTCTCTCTCTCTATCTCCTCAAAGTGGTAGGAGGACAGATATACTATCATACGCTCTCCCCTCTCTCTCTCTCTTCTTCTTATCTATCTCTCTCTC